TTGGTACCCTCCATCCTCTTGGTTCATCAGATCACTGTATTGTTTCTTGTTCTATTAAGTTTTCAAACCCCGAGCCACCACCCACTTCGAGGCACACATTCTGGCGCTGCAACTCAGCCAACTGGGACGGTTCCCGTGATTTCCTAGCTGTTTATCCCTGAAACTGAAACTTATCCCTGGAGCGATTGCTGTTTCTCTTCGGAGGTTTACAACTTCTCCGACATTGTTCTTCAAGGTATGCGTCTTTTTATTCCGCACTTTTCCAAACTCGGCAAACCCAAATCCCCCAAGTGGTTAAACCATGCATGTGACCGTTTTGTACGCCTGAAACGTTCAGCCTTCCGCCGTTCGCTCACCCACCCCCCTGCTACCATCGCTTCGTGCAAATTAGGAACCGATGCTCGACGACCATTCAGATAACCAAAGAACGCTTCGTTCGTCGCAAAGCCGAAAACTTGATCTCGTCTGCCACCGGTAGCCGAACATTTCAGTTCCTTGCCAAAGCAATTTCCCGTAATTTCTGCCCTTCCTACTTCCATCTATCTGTAATTCCTCTGGTGATCCTGTACGTCAACCCAACTAGAAAGCCACCAATTCTAACTTATCCAGTTATCCTACACCTCCACCTCCGTCCTCACTGGCAACCCTTTGCTACATCATATCAGCACTAGGAAAATTCGTCAAATATTGCGCTCTCTAAACGCAAACAAACCACCCGGTCCAGACGGTATTCCAACCATCCACAAAATGTGTGCTCCCGAGCTGGCCCCCGTTTTACGTAGTATTTTCAGCCATTCAATCAATTTTTCTTCTTTTCTAACCCCTTGGAAAAACGCCGTGATTTTTCCCATTCTCAAACGCAGTGACCTTTATGACCTCAACAATTACCGACCTATTTCCCTCACATCTGTTCCTTCTGAAGTGTTTCGAACTATTATCTTTGACCAACTACGCACGTTCCTTGAACGTGAAGGACTACTGAGCGACCGCCAGTATGACTTTCGACCGCGCCGTCTCACCGGTGACCTGCTGGCTCTTGTCTCACACTTCTGGTCAGCTCCACTCCATAACCATGGAGAAACACACTTGGTTTTGCTTGACATCTCAAAGGCCTTTGACCGAATTTGGCACGAAGGTCCACTGGCGAAACTATCCATGTTCGGGTTCCCTCAGGTGAAAGTAGCGTGGATATCAAGTTTCCTCGGTAAGCGAACCATTTCCGTCCGAGTTGATGGGGGTTCTATCTCAGTCATTCCCTGTGAAGGCTGGCGTTCCCCAAGGTTCAGCACTTGCGCCCACCCTCTTCTTTTTTATCAATGATCTTTCCAAACTGCCAACCGGATCCATTCTTTTGCTGATGACGTCACCCTCCACTGCTCTCTCTCTCCTACCGCGCTGCTCGCCATGCCCAAACCAACATCCATGGTGACCGTAATGAAGTTAATGTGTCACTGGATTCCGATCTCGGACACATCTCCCCCTGGGGCATTGCAAACCACGTTTCATTCAAGAGTTCTAAAACCTCACTCCTTTCAATTTCTTTAAAGTATTATTCATTCTCTCCCCATTGATCTTTTAATTCCTCCCAACTACGTTCCACAGAATGAACACTGGAAGCAAATCAAAGAAGCAATGTAAATATCATTAAAAACAACATCGGACCATGGCGTTGGTTCAAAATACAAACGACGGATCTCGTCGACCTCGGCTGCCCTGAGGGACGCCCGCAGGAACCCTCCCTACTGATGCCACATATGACACGGCGCGCGAATCCCTCAAACGCCAGCTCATCAAGTCTGAGGAATGACTGCGATAAATGGTGGATAGGAAAGTGTGAAGAGATGGAGAAAGCTGCGGTCATTGGTAATATTCGCAATCTTTTTCGTCTAATTAAGAATACGGGCCCTAGGAAAATAGGTGTGTGTGAGGTAATTATGGAATGCGATGGTACACTAATTCACGATCAGCAACGCCGTCTTGACCGTTGGGCTGAATATTCCGAGGCTCAGTTCAACTGGCCCCCTTCGACATCTGAACTATCACCCTCCACCTAGACTGGGCAAATACTCCCAGTTGATGCTAGTCCTCCATCTGAAATGGAGGTCTAACGGGGAATACGTTATCTCGAAAGGCATAAAGCTTCCGGCCCCGACGGGCTGTCCCCATCCGTTTTTAAAGATGGAGATTCAACCTTGGTTTTGGATTTAACNGGGCTCAGTGTAGGCGAGGGAACAGGTTCCAGCTGAATGGTGTGAATCGGAAATCATACCGAGCTTGGCAGCGATCACTGAAGCTCGCTTCATTGTATCTCGCTGTACGATGATGATGATGATACCGATTTACAAAGGCGACAGGTCCCCCTGTGAAAACCACAGAGGAATTAGTTTAATCAATATTGCCTCTAAGCTTCTCGCCGGTATCATACTCCATCGATTGCCGCACGCGAACAGTGCACGCGTGAGAACCTGGCGGGTTTCAGATCTGGTCGAAGTTGTATTGGCCACATCTTCACTCACCGTCTAGTTCTGGAGCGTCGACGTTCCTTTCGGAGACCCACGATCTCTGTTTTCCTCGATTTGAAAGCGGCGTTCGACTTAGTCGACCGCTCCGAACTCTGGCGCTGCCTTTCCCTGAAGTGAGTGCCCCAGAAGTTTATTTCAATATTACGACCGCTTTATAGTAATAGTCGAAGTCGAGCACTTTTTCGCCCCAGTTCACCACGGAAAGTGGTGTTCGACAGGGTTGCCCTCTCTCTCTCTCCTTTTCTATTCAACTTTGTCATAGATTTAATTCTTGAAACAGCCCTATCCTTCGTGTGCAAGGATAGCCGTATCGATTTACTTACGGGTGGCAGACTGTCTGATCTGGAGTACGCAGACGACATTGTGCTACTAAGTGACGATCCAGGTAAGTTGCAAGCATTTCTGGATAAGTGCAGACGACAATGTGCTACTAAGTGATGATCCAGGTAAGTTGCAAGCTTTTCTGGATATTTTGAGTGCTAGTGTATTCATGTTCGGTATACGTTTTGCACCTTCAAAGTGTAAAATGCTACTGCAACATTGAGTTGATCCAGCACCCAGTCTCATCCTAACTGGGGAAGTAGTAGAGGAAGTAAACCAATTTTGCTATCTGGGTAGCTATATCTCGCCCGGCGGACGCATCACAGATGAAGTGTCGGCGCGTATACAAAAGGGTCGATTGGCATTTGCCAACTTGAGACATTTGTGGCGCCGTCGCGACATCCGGCTGTCTGTTAAGGGTCGAGTGTATGCTGCAGCAGTTCGGCCA